ATTTTCTTAGATATAATTTATAATTTTAAACATAAAAATTATTTATACTATAATTGAATGCCTTTTTCATGGATTAATCACTAAAATAATCATAAATTATATTTTACTATTAATTTATTTTTTAAAAATGCAAATTTAATTTAAAAATAAAATATAAAAATATATAATTCATACATAAAGTATTATTAATTATTAATTAATAAATATATAAATAATATAATATTCTAAATTCTGATCATTATTTTTCAAAAATTTATTATAATTTTTATTAAAACTATATAACATTATATTTATTTCTTATAAATAGTGTCCTAGAACATAATTTGAACAAAATCAATTATTGCAATAAAGACATTCAATTTATTAACAATTGATATTTTCAATAAAAGAAAATTTAAAATATAAAAACAAATATAATTTTTTTACATCAATTTTTAACATTTATATATAATTATTATATATTACATTTATAAACAAGTGATAATGATAGAAAGCATTGCTATTTACAAACTTTACTGACATAATCTGATAACAATATTTTATATAATTATAGCGTCTATACGATAAGTATTTAAAATTTGAAATCTGTCACAACATACTTAGTAATGATACAAATGGTTTAATTTGAAATTTATTTAAATCTTCTACAGAAGGCTACTCTGACTAAACTGTAATGTTAACCGATTTTTAAAAAATTATAGCAACTATACGGCAATAACATAAAATTCATAATCAGTTTATCAATTCTCGATATATCCTCATTGTATAGTCTGTATACTCTTATTGCGGATATAGTCTCAAAATGACCAAAAATCATATGCTATCATATCTTTAGTACTCATTTACATTATTTTCTATTTTCTAACCCAATCTGAATTCAGAATTTCAAAAAATACTATAAACCTATAGACACACAAACACTCGTATAGATTTCAGAAAACAATTTTTTTCAAAATTTGTTTGAAAATTATATCTATAATAAATTTTTATTTGTTTAAATAATTTTATGAATAGTTAAGTATAATAAATCTTTTTATTTTGTAACTTTATTTATTAATCACTGCATTACTGTATACATGTAGTTAAAATCAATACAAAAAGATTATTATTAATATTTATTTTTAAAAGTATTTTATTAGAATTTTTTAGAAACGTTTTATAATTTAAATAATTTATGTTTTTATTGAATTAATTACTTAAATAAATGTATAATATTGTGAGCTTGCATTTAATTTAATTAAGAATATAATAATTAATTTTAATCGACATAATAATAATAATAATACTTATTTTATACTCAATTATATTATAATTACATATATTCTATATTTTATATATTTACAAATAGTTAATTTAAATATATTCTATTTAAATAAAACTATAAATTTGTGTTATTGAAAATATCAATATATTTACAAAAAAGACATTAGATTTGTTGTTATAAAGATTAAGTGCATAAAACTGGCAAAACAAATGTATATCTCTTTCTAACTAAATTAATATTACTTTTACAACAAAACACCATTTTATTTATACTACTTATTAAAAAAAACATTTCCCAAAATACAAAACTATTCCATCAGTATAATGAAAAACTGCTGTAAAATTCAAGCTTTAAATCCAAACTAAAAATTTGAAAAATACATATTAAGACATTTAGAGACATTAAATTTTGACATAAATATACATACAATACTTTAGTGTATAAAAATGTGATTTAAAAAAATTAAAACAGAAAATCCAGTGATTGTCATATTATAAGAGTACTGTTTTCAACCATTACTGAGTGTTTCAAGATTTCAATGATAACAAACTGTTTTTTAATATACGAATCTTTGTGTTTTCTGTGTGTCAAACATAAAATTATTTTTAAAAATTAATAAATGTTTTTTTTTAATTTGTTAGACAAACATTTTAATGTTTTATAAATTCAATTAATTTATTTTAAAATAACAACCATTTAAAGCTAATTTTTATTATTAATTAATGAGATAATTATTCAATTTTGTTTGCTATTTATATAAATTACTCTTAAAATTTTTGATTTATTTTTGATTAAGTAAAGTATATTTGTGTACATACATTATATACATTATAAAAATTTTTATTTTTTAAAAATGTTAATATTTCTCATCGATGAAAATCTATAAACTTAATGAATTAATTCAAAGATATAGTTTAATTGACAATTTCATTGATACTTAAACATTGAAAAATAACAAAAACTAAATGTTTACTAAAAAATATTATTGTAATGTTAAAGTAAGTCTGAATTCATCAAATTCATAGATTTTTCATTCCTCTAAATTGATTTTTATAGTTATGTTATCTTAGAGTTAAAAGTTTATTAGATTTGAATATTATAATAAAATTAATGAATTTATTTACTCTTTAAAAATTTTATAATTTTGTTAAAATAAATAAAAACAAAAATTAAAGTTTTTGTAAATAATAACTTTAAATAGATTATATTTTGAGTATTTTAGTAATTTTAGTAAAACAGAATTTCTTTAATTTTAGTACTCAAAATTATTTTTAAAAGTTTATTGTAATAATCGTGAATATATTACTATATGTTATAAATATAATATAAAAATATGATATTTTTAAAAATTCTAATGATTAATATAGTTATATATTTAATTGATTGACAATTGTATTATTATAGTGTTATAAAATAATGAATAAAATAATATATTTATATAATAAGTAAAGTACAGTATTTACAACTTTATTGAACTTAAAACCTATGATTTTGTGCATTGAATAACAAAGTGAAAGACCAGTGCATTATAACATTGATTGACGGTATTGTTGTTGTGGGCCAACACTACTGTCGGCCCAATTCAACATCAAATGAAAACTTTGAGATAATAAGTAAATTGACTCAACTGTTCACATCCCGGAGTCCTTTGTGGATAAAAGATAGTAATCAACGACTGGAAGGTCAGTAACGATTGGTTGCCAATAGCTAACAGTGTTGCTTATGTATCACAAAACACGGAATATTCTTATACTATATTATATATTGATATATATATATTAAGTGAGAGTTAGGTTTGAGAATCAAATCTATTTTCCGTCAGAATTAGTGAGACTTTAGTCTACAAAGTTATTGCACTTTTATATGAGATCAGACATAACTGTGCTTATTGTGGACGACAACTATAATCATATAAGAATTATTTGCTTTTAAATGATATTTCTTTAGTCATTTGGTTTTGATGACCTATCGATCCCAATGAATGTATTACTAACTATTAAATAGCAATACTGACAGTGACCAGGGCTTCAACCTTATGACATGACTTCTATGTTTGTGTTAATCAATTGCTTTACATAAACAATAAGCATTTTATTATACAATAAAACATTTTTAATAAATAATATACACTTTTATCACAAATGCATATTTGTAAATAATTTAGAATTATTTCAATAATTAATTTACAGTATATAAAAAATAAGACAATTATTTATGAAGTTTCAAACATTAAAATTTTATATTAGTATTTTTGATAAAATCGTTTAATTAAAGATAGTAATAAATTGATTTAGTAATAAATATTTTTTCATATACTTTATAATATTATATACATTAAAAATATAATTAAAATATTCTGGTAATAATAAATAAAATAAATTAATCAATAACAACAAAATAATATTTCATAATTAACATCTAAAAAGTACATATCGTTTATATATATCATTTTAATAATAATACGCCAAAAATATTTATCAAAAAATGTGGCTTAAAATGTGTAATAAAAAAGTCGATAAAAGATAATTTGGTGAAAGATATAACGTTAAGAGTATATAATATGTATCAAAATATAGTGCCAATGAGTAATGTCAGTACATATTTATGAAGCGTTTAGTCGGTGCCTGATTTCACATTTGAGATGTTTGGAGGGTTGGCTAACATCATAAATATAGCTAATGTTGCGGACGGGCTCCGGGATGTGTAATATGTTTCACTCAATTCACAATCGCTGTGTGTTTTCTACAAAATAACTGCTTTTGTGAGCTTATAGTTATTACAAGTGAAATAAAATAAACAAAATTGAAAGCAAACTCTATATGTCTCAACACATTACACACCACTCCTCTGTTGTTACTGTTTTGAGACTTCTTTCAAAACAGTCATATAATCAGACCATTTGTGAGATATTGATAATAATATCAATAATAATAACAATAACAGAATTGAGTAAAGAATTCAAATAATATTAACAGTTTTTAACAACAGTTTATGTATCTCTGATTAAAATAAATTAAAAATATAAATAATAAATATTTATTAATAAGTAATTAAAATAAAATAAATTTAATATACTTTAAAATCTTTATTTTTATTAAATTTAAGACACTTTTTGTTTTATTATTATAAGTTAGAATTCATAGCTTTTTCTTCTTTAATAATAAGTGAAACTCACATCAAATTAACAGATTTATATTATTGATTATAATTATCAGTCATTTATTTAAATATTACATTTACTAATATGACATAAACTCTTTGAAATAATGAAATCTATGCCTTAAACGAGTTACAAAAATCTCATAATAATAATCATAATCATAAACATAAAAATAATGTCATATATAACATCTAACATACGCTTATATTCTGCTATAAAACGTGATATTTGCAAAAAAAAATGATTTAATAACAAATTTTAATTTAATGTCTACAAATAAAACCTTAATAATAATAACAAAAATTAAAAATAATAATTATTTGTTTTAGACATCTTTTTGTTATACATTATGAGGTCATTATATCAATGATATAAATCATAATACACATAATATCATACTATTAATATTTGTAATCTATTTATAGTATGTATTACTTAGTAAAATATTTTTAAATAAATTAAGGTTTATAAACAACAATAATTGATTAATATATTTATATTGAATAAAATTTTTAATTTATGTTAAATATATTAATCTTATGTTAATTTAATATATATATATTTAATGCGTTATAGGATTAGTCAAAATGGGTGTGCATTGTGTGACCGGTAAGAAAGTGGCCGTAAAAATAGTCAATCGGGAAAAACTATCCGAAAGTGTCCTCCAAAAGGTAAACAATTGTTTAATGTTTTAATTATATTTTTAATTATAATATTTTAGAAAAAAATAATAAGTAACAAATTGTATAATTGAACTATAAATTTAAAAATAGTTTTTAATTAAATGTTGTTCATAATTAAATAAAATACTGATTAATATTAATACTTAGATGTAATAACAATACACATACAATCATTGCAGGAAAATTGTTTTTAAGGCAAATTAATTTTAAACGTTATTTACTATATCAGTGGTAAAGATTTATTTGAGTTATAGACTATAATAAATAATCTAAATAAACATTAATTTAAATATTTAATATTTTGAAAATAATTAATAAATGATATAAATTTTTAGGTGGAAAGAGAGATAGCGATAATGAAGTTGATAGAGCACCCACATGTTTTAGGACTATACGATGTTTATGAAAATAAGAAATACCTGTACCTAATCCTAGAGCACGTATGCGGTGGAGAATTGTTTGACTATTTAGTAAAGAAGGGTCGGTTGACCCCCAAAGAGGCCCGTCGTTTCTTTCGGCAAATCATATCCGCCCTCGACTTCTGTCACAGCCATTCCATATGTCATCGAGACTTAAAACCTGAAAATCTATTATTGGACGACAAAAATAACATAAAGATAGCCGACTTCGGAATGGCATCCCTTCAGATGGAGGGCTCAATGTTGGAAACGTCGTGCGGAAGTCCTCACTACGCGTCGCCTGAAATCATTAGAGGAGAGAAATATGACGGACGACAGGCAGATGTCTGGTCCGTTGGTGTTATACTGTATGCCCTATTAGTGGGTGCCTTACCTTTCGATGACGATAATCTCAGACAATTGCTTGAAAAAGTCAAAAGGGGTGTCTTTCATATCCCCCATTTCGTGCCCCCTGAATGTCAAGATCTTCTCCGTACAATGATTGAAGTCAATGCAAACAAACGTATTTCCGTATGTATTGCTATAGATTTTGATTAATATTTTAATTTAATTGATTTTTGAAAAAATAAATGACAATTAAATTATAATTTCTCACACATTATAATTTTAAGGATAATTTTTTTATATAAATCGTTTTGTTGTTAATTTATTTAAATATAAAAATTTATTATAAATCTAATTAAATATATATTACTTTAAGTAATAATTAATATTAGATACATATATTAATATAATAACATAAAAATTTATTTTATTACTTTTTAGATATCGTTTATTATATAAATTGGTTTTTTGTGATATTAATTGTGGTAGAATATAATTTACATTTTAATTAATACAGTATTTATAATATTATTTATTAGATACCAGAATAACTGTTGTATAATAAGCAAAAACAGTATTTTAAATAAAAAATGCATAATTTTTATAAAATTATTATTATTATAACTTTTAAACAAAAATTAAGTTATAAACCATTTAGTTATTGCTCTTTCTCTAATTAATATATTTAGTATTATTTTTATGTTATATTGATTTCTTAAACCATACAATAATAATAATAACTAAAGAAAAAATGTTAATATTTATATATTCACTGAAATTATAATATTCAGTATTCATGCAGTTATTATTGTAGACAACGACCTCCCTGTGCTGTAATGCACATCAATTTAAGTTGAATTCCCAACACATTGAGTGCTGTACTTATTAGTTGAAGTGTTGTTTTTTACAGAGAGACTCAAACCTGAAAATCTATATAAAGTTATTTGTGTTATATTTTGAATGAGACGTAAAAATGTGTTTTCATAAGTAAATTGTACTTTATATTCACATTATAAATAAGAAGTCATATTTTTAATAAAACAATAAAAACATAAATTTTTTACATACAAAAAACATACTAATACTCACTCACTCACTCACACACACACACACACACACACACACAGAGAGAGAGAGAGAGAGAGAGAGAGAGAGAGAGAGAGAGAGAGAGAGAAACTCATACAATATTGTATAATATGTATAAAATAGTATAAAAATTTAAAACATAATTAAACTAATATTTGTTATACAGCATATCTAAATGTTTTAATACTGTTAAAAACATAAAGTTTAATTATTATTATATTAACATTAATAACATAAGCAATATTTTATTATTATAAAACATTTAAATTGATATTGATTACAAAATTATAGTAGCTATATAATAAGCTATAGTAACAAAAATTATAAGTATAATAACATTTTTAACCGTTGTTTTTTAGTGTTTAACATTTTATCATTAATTATATTCTGTTTTACAATCAATGAATAGCTTAATATAAAGTAAAATATAACCGTATGTTTGACAACTAAATAAAAAATTTTGTGTTTAAAAGTTAATATTACGAGAACTTGTGTTAGAAATTTTGTGCCTTTAATGAATAGTTTGCTTTAAACATAAATACAAAACTGTTTTATTACTATAGCTACCACTCCTACTACCAGTGCCTGAAAGTCTACAATGAATGTGGGGTTAATGTAATATATTTGTATAAGAATTGTGTTTATGGTGTGTGAGAACCGACACAAGAAATGGTTGAATCAAAACATAAAAAATATATAAATAAGACTTTGAACTGTAAAAATGCATCTTTTTTGGAGAGAGAGAGAGAGAGAGAGATTGATGAGTATAAGCTACTTAACTAGTGATGCCTTTCCTCTAATCATCCTTTTGATCGCACGAGAAATGCCTTCCTCTACTTCCCTAATATACAGTAATATTGAGTAAATCAGTAAAGTATTCAAATATATTTTGCCGGCAATATTGAAGAAGAAAAGAGTAAGACTATTGAGTTGTTATATGTTTTTCACTGAATGACAGAAAATTTCATTTTATAAAGTCTTTCAAATTGACTGACGACTCAGTGAAAAGCAACTCAAAGTGTGATTGAAAAATGTGTTTTGTGTGTGTGTGTGTGTGTGTGTGTGTGAGAGAGAGAGAGAGAGAGAGAGAGAGAAAGAGAGAGAGAGAGAAAGAGAGAGAAACTCGTGTTATAAAAAATCTAAATATTATATTTGAATTTTGGTCAATAAGTTTAAATCAATGGACTGACTTAAAGTCAATAACTAATGTTATGATATGTTGGATATGCGTGCGTGATATGGACTCACATATTATTTAATATAATATAATATTAATGCACTATTTATATATAAATATTTGAATATAAGGAATATATTATAATATATATGAAGAATCGTATTCATAAAATATAACAAAATAATCAGTCGATCATTGAATTGTTAGAAATATTCAATAAATAAGTTATATAATACATGACAAAAAAATTTCAAACATTTTGATTTCAGATATTAAATATAAATCATATAAAAATGTATACTTAGTAAAGAAAATTGCTTTTTGACAATAAGTACAAAAATTTCTATTATTAAAGTTTTGATTCAAAAAAAATCTGATAACTAGTAATATAATAACATATCATTTGTAATCATTTTAGCAAAACCCACTTTACGAAAATAATTATTTATTATTATGTAAAATATAAATTTTCAACTAATTAAAAAGAGTTTAATTTGATAGAATTATTTTAGTCTAATTAAAATTATTAATATTAGTCATTGTTCTACAATAATAGTGTTATAAGTTAATATTGAAAAAATATAAATATTTTAAAATATATAAATTTTAATATAAAGATCTAAATATAATATATTTTGAGTAAAGTATATTGTCTTAATTATTGTTATTTACATACTTTGTAATTACAATATTTAAATATTATTTCAAAATAGTTTTGTTGTTCAGTGTTGTTATAAATGGATAAAATTCTTTATCAAAATTCTTTATATTAAATTAATTGTTTAATATTAGAGTAAAGTACAGTACATTAGTTCAACTATAAGATAGTACCAGTAATTGTTTTTATAAATATTTAATTATACTGTTACTAATTTATTATACTAGTTTTTTCAAATATACAGTATCTTTTATTTTATATGATAAACTAAAAATATATTTCCTAAATGACCACACAATAATATGAAAATAAAAAAATCAATAATAGAGATTATAGGCAACAAATTATACTGTATAAGTTACAGTTAAAACAAATAATTTTAAATTTAGATGATATAAATAATTCATTGTTTATTTTGTAAACTTTGTGATTGCTATCTTTAGTATTATTATAATCTAATTTATTTCTAAATATTGAAACATTCTTTTAAAAAACTAACAGTTTGTGTGTTTATTTGGCACCTATAGCTAGCACTGGTAACTCGACATCCATGGGTAACATCGGGCAGCAAAAGTGAACTCGAGTTAGAATTACCGATGAAAGAAGTGGTTCAGGTATTGATAATATATATACAATAATTGTTTTAATACATAAAAAATTTGGTCCATTAATCATATTTTATCTTATGATTATATTATATAATATTATGTTAACATTATATAGTTAGAAAAATTAATAGGAAATTATTGTTTTTATTATTAAGGGAAATAATAAAAATTATAATAATATATTAATTATAATTTAAAATATAGTATATTAATAGTATTTTGTAATGAATAGCCTCAAGATTTACTGTATATTATAAATATCAAATTTAGTCGTCAAACTCATACTAATTAAATATAAATTTATTTAACTTATTATATTTAAGTCATTAAGAAATTGTTTATAAATGAAGTTTTGCGGCTATTTTTAATATTTTATATTAAAGTTTTTGATTTAAAAAACCCGAAGATAAATGTATTTCACATAAAAATTGATTAAATTATAAAATAATATTCTTTATTATTTATTGCACTCAAACACATCATTAATCACATGAGAGAAATCTCAATGATTGTCATGTTTTACATAACTTTGTTATTTCGAAATCAAATATATTGTTATTTACCAAAAAGTATTACACATCAAATTTATTTATATTTTATATATAACTTTTATTAAATTTAAATATAACTTTACAAAAAATACTTTTTTGTATTATAAACTCATATATATATATATTTATTTATATACATATAGACTCACATAATTCCTAATGTCGATGACATAGACCCCGACGTCTTAACAAATATGACATCTTTGGGCTGTTTTAAGGACAAGGAAAAGCTTTTAAGAGACTTACTCATCGCTACGTGAGATATACACTATTATTTCCCATCCATTTAATACATACTTATAAAAATAGTAACACATTTTATAGACAATATTTTCCAATTTAGTCTCTTATTTTCACTTTTACCCACAAATACTCTAATTTTTATTTATTCCCAATTATTCTCAACCATTCTTTTCCTGTATTTTTTATTTTCACATACATTTCTAAACAAAATTCTCAGTTTACTAAATGTTTGTATTATTGTATTTTGCAAATAACAGTCACAACACCGAAAAAGTTATATATTTTTTATTATTGGACCGCAAGAGACGTAAGCCTTGTTTTGAAGACGAAACCGAATCCATTATAAGAAATCGATCGGAATCTGGTATATAAATAGCAATTTTCATATACAGTAGTACTGTGTTATACTGGTATACTGTATATGATTTAATAAATATGTAAATATATTTTTAATTAAAATATTGTCACAAATTAGCTGATCCGCCGCGAAAACGAGTTGATGTTCGGCCCAATTCATCGACTCCGAGACATACCTCTGATTTACTTTCGGACGGATCGCCAATTACTCCGAGAAGATTTCCCTATGGGTTCAACATTTAATTACTTTTTTCTCTATATATTGAATATAAATTGATTTATTCTGTTATAACTAATTCTTAATATAATTTATTTTTATATCAAATGTCAAATATAGCGTCAATTCCTCGACAAAACTATATATAAACTGTACTCCAATTCATAATAGAAGAAACATTAATAGGAGGACAACTAATGGCACTACAAATAACTTATTAGTTTCACCCTTGAATTCCCCGAAACCTCATCGGACATCAAATAATAGTGAAGAGCTTATGGAAACACCTCCCGGTTCGCCACTCTCTCAGCCCTATTGGAAGTCACGGCTCAATACACTTAAAAATAGTTTTCTTGGAAGTCCTCGGTATTAATTTATGTCAATTTTATAGATATTTATCAAATATTTAGTTTACCTTAAAGTTAATGTATTGATTTAATAATGTATTTATATATCGTTTACTTTATTTACTATATAGATTTCATCGACGAAAACTTCAGGGTATTTATAAAATCATAAATATTTTTATGATTTTCTTTTTAAAAAAGACAGCTTTTTATTTCAAATTCAATGAAGTGTTGTATTTAGTATTGCACTGATATTTAGTGTTATTTAAAGCAATATTATCTTTTTATAGACATTATAAAACACACTATTATTTATGTTTTTTCCTTATAGTTATTATATTCCACAAAAATCTAGATCTGAAAATCAATAGTTGTTTTCCGATATTTTTTGTTCAATTTATAATAAAATGCTTATACGGCTTATTGAAAGCTAAAAATCTGTGAACTGAAAATATATTTCCCCCTAATATTTAAGCTTTATTTTCTTAAGAAATCTTTTTAAATAAAGTTTGATTTTTATGGCATTGAAAACAATTTCGTTTTTATTTTTTATGCAACTATTTGTTTTTAATATATATCATAATATATATATATAAACTTTATATAAATATTAGGCAATTATTATTTAGCGAAATGTTTAGTCGGAAATCATAAAAATCTTGTTTGAGTTAAGCCTCGATTTATGTGACATTTTGTATATATGTTTTATGTATGTTATGATATAAATAATCCATAATCTTTTTACAACTACAGTTCCCCTCTACGATGACATTGGTTTAACACCGGAGTCATCTCCAGAACTCACAAAGAAGTCATGGTTTGGCAGTTTAATGGGCACAGAGAGAGATGAAACACACGTTTTATTAATCAAAGATCGTCCGCTGTCTGCCATAAAAGCAGATCTCATTCATGCATTTCTTTCGGTAAATTTTTGCAGATATTTTTTATTGTTTATAATATTTTATTACAAACAATTTATTACTATTAAAATGATAATTAATTAGTCAATAGATATGTTTTAAATGGTATTTTAATTGTTATAGATATCAGATTTAAGTCATTCCGTGTTATCGCCGATGTCTTTTCGCGTTGAATATAAGAGACCGGGCGGTACAGCCATGTTTCAGAGGAATGTCCGCTTCCATGTCGACATCACATGTGCCACACCACCGGCTGATAATCAGACTAATGGTAGCCTTGATATTAGTGCTGATAAGCCCACCATATATTGCATTACATTTACATTAATTTCAGGTAAATGTTTAATATGATAATGAATTTCTAATTAATTAACTAATGAGTTGTTATGTATTGACTGATGATTAGGTCCGTTACGCCGTTTTAAACGTATCTGTGATCACATTCAGGCACAAGTTATGGGAAGAAGAGCTGCGAGTCAACACTCGCCAAGAATTAGTCGACGGCCAACAAGAGAGTTAAGTGACACCAGTTCTTGTGGTTCGTGCGGATCCGATAGTCTCTCACCAACGCCTACACGTCTACACGTATCTGAAGATACAGTCAGTTTGGCAGCCGCTGTGGTCAACACGAGTACAACCAATCTAACGGGTGCTTTGTCCCGATGTAAGTCAGACCAGGACGCAGCTAAAGACATCTTTGAAAGAGAAACCAATCGTCTCAGTGAAAGAAGACAAGAGAGCGTCCGACTCATCAATAATATAACAAACGGAAGGCGTCTTAGTTTAGAGCCTAAGCTGCAAACGGATAAAGTATGAGACGATTATCCCATTCAACCCCAACTATGATCTCAATATTGGCGCTCAATTAGATGTATACCAATTGGACTGCAAATTAAGTGTAATTGTCAAACAAAACAACAAATATTGATAAATCAATATATTATTAAATCCATATTAAAATTGTAAAAAATTTACATTTATATGTAATACAAATTTTTGTGTTTGATTGCATTTACTACGTATTTTGCAATATGAGAGATAAGTTTTGGGCTAAAATTTTTGGGGTGTTTTGTGTTTTTGATAAAAACTAACAGAAAACAATTATTTTCATCAAAACAACAATTAAGTGCAATATATTATTTAAATTAATATATGATATGTTTGAAATACATGCGAGTTCAAGGATGGCTTATTTTATGGCTAAATATTTACTGTTTTAAGTAATCTATTTATTATACTTATATTCACTTAAGAATCGAAAAATAATTAATGAGAGGTATGAATGATATTTAAAATTATAAATAAAATTTTAATTTTGGACAAAATATTGCCAAATATTAGCTTAAACGCAATTATTAAACAAATAAACAAACAGATACTCAACAAATTAGATATAAATTTATTTTCAATTATTAGTATTATTGTATTTAAAATAAAACATTGACTCAAAAAATAAAAATTATTTTTATTTATTTAATGTTTTTTAATTTAATTGAGTCTTTAAAACAGACACACAAAAGAAACAAATTAGGATTAATAAGAAATTTTAGATAAAACTAATTTAAAATAAACGTTTAAAACATTTTCATATATCAATCATTTCATATAACAGTCAATTATATTTCGCTAACAATTATGCCATTGGATTCTGTGTTAATTATAAGTGCATACATTATAAGCCCATCTGACAAACAAACAAAAAAACTAATTATTAATTATATCAATAATTGTCACACAATTATTGTTAACTCATATAAAAAGTGAATAAAATTTCTCATCGCATGAAATCAAAAATACATATTATTATTATTAATTAACTAATAATTCAAATGTACCTAAACTCGTACTATATATAATAATGTGTTTTTTAATCTATGATAAAAATATTGTGAATTTTGTTAAATATATTTAGTTAAATTATATAATAATTAATTTTATTTGTTCGCATCACAACTGAAAATTAAAATATGTTATATATGAATTATTAAAACTATCATTTTATTATCATATTATTTTTATTATAAATAAATTTGTTAATAAAAATTAAATTATGTTTAAATAATGTTTGTTTCTTAATTATATAAATATTTGGTGACATCGATTGTGCAATTATGTAAAAAATACTAAAATAATATTTTAATTATATTATATAAAATTAATAGTAATTCATTTAGTATAGTAGATTAGATATAATTAAATGATTAAAGTACTATAATATATTAAATTAATAAATTAAAAATAGAAAACTGTGAAAAAAAATTATTTATTTATTTCAGGAAAATGTTAATTCTATATTTAATAGATACATATATCTAATTTAATCAATAGATAACAATAATGGTATAATAACAATAGTAAATTTAAATATTTGTAATTTATCAATGAGAATATAATTTTGAAAATAATACAATATTTAAAAATAGAGCAAATTTTTATACTATTTAAATAAAAATTTATATTTAATAACATTCAAGATTTATCCTATTTTAGTTTTTATAATAATTTATTTATAAACTACCGATAAATATAATTTAAGATATAATTTTAAATAACAGAAATATGAAATAACTACTAAATTTCAATTTAATTGTAACGTTTTGACAATTTTTTGTTAAAAAATCTGTTTAAAAATTATAAAAGACAACAAATAAACATACAGTATATTATCTATATATGTAAACTTTTTATAATGTTAACATTTGTATAATTTGTATAATAAAATCAATTATTTCGTTTTAAATTAGGTAATAAGACATGAATTAAATAAATAAACAAAATATTTTGTGTATTTGTATTGCTTGTTATATTACACTAGATTTTAGTCCCAAAATCAACCTTATTTAGTATTATACCGACTTAACATAGATTACAATAATAGCAATATTATATTACATAGAATTTACGCAAAATTAAGACATCATTAAAAACAATCATTAAAACTGATGTAATTATATCAAGATATAATTGCATCGATTGGTAAAATTGATAAATTGTTGTGTTGTTATAATAACTCAATTTTATCAATTTAAAATATTTTTATATAATTCAACTATCAATAATTTTTTGCAATAGTATTGCTTTATAAATTTAATATATTATTTGATTATCATATTGACTATTATTAATAAACATAGTCTTAGGTTTACAAAGTTTTAATGTAGACATTGATAATGTCATCACACAATCATCTGGTGATATCATCAATTTGGCTAAATTTTGGTTATAATTTATTAAAACTAATGTTTTCAAAATAATTTATACCTTATTTTATAATTTTTAAAAAATTATACAACTGCAACTATTATATGTCTATTTTAACAACCATTATATAATATAATTTGTACTACCGGTACTTAACATTACAAAAATGGGTGTAACTATATTTAAATATATTTGCATCAATTGATAATTTAGATATACGATAATTGTATACAATTCTATGTCAGTTAAGTCGGTAATTAAAATTAAATTATTAATTTTAAAATAATGATTCTTAGTTTAAGATAATCAACAATGATTTAAATAATTCTAATATTATATTACTTTATAAGTAATCTTTTTTATATCATAGTTTTAAATAATGTGTCAAAAAATACTGTAACTACAGTAGTAATTATATTATATAAATATTATACAGTATTTTCTACTGTAGATGATTATATTGTTAATAATATTAAAATAAATATAAAAATTAAAGATTTAAAATTAAAATAATTACCGTAATTACGGTAGCATAATAAAAATTAATATGTTACCACTTAAAATAGTTTTAAACATTAACATGTTTTACATAAAAATTAATTTTTATAAATTAATAAATAAACTACAAATTGATTATCAATAATGTCAAATCAATTAATTTAAAATAATTTCAAAAATTAAAAATAATAACAAAAAATAGTAACATTACTAAAAATAAAACATTGTTAGATATACATAATTGGCACACAATTATTGGAGAAAAAAAGATTTAAAATACGGTAATAAAACAATAGTGAGGAATGTCTGCCTTGATATGAGAGTTGTTAACAAAAATTTATAATTTTGTGATCATTACAAACATGTTGTTGTATGCAATTTGTTGAGTTATTCGACATAATTTTGCAAAACACCAGCGCCTCCACCAAATCCATATCCTTTTGGTCCATACATTTTGCCGTAACACGCTATCATACATATCAATGAAAGTCATTAAATATATAAATATAAATTATAAAAATATATATTTAAAAAAAACAATAATAATAATAATATATTTATTGGTTTTGATTATTTAATGAAATTATTATAAAAAAATATAGAAAAATGATAAATACTTTTGCAATATATCTCTCCTTCGCGTTCGCAAAGAGTGGTCGACTCGAGACGTTTGTGACACTCCTTACAAGTAAAACACGTACTTTTATGCCAAGCCTTAAAACAATAATAATTAAACATTAAATATAAGTAAAAGTATTAATAAATTAGATAAAAGTAAAAAGTGAATCAATAGATAACTTACTGAACCCCCGCCCATCATTTTTTCTGCCATATAGACAGCTATTAAATAAAAACAAACAAAAAAAGTTAATAATAAAATAGTAAATTAAAAACTTTATGTGAAATAATAATAGTTGACTACCTTTACCACAACGCGGACAGATGTCTGCGCCGCCAAACTTGGGTTTGTGATTGCCGTTAGTTTGCGGTTGTGGTGACGGCGGACCTTTTTTGGGAGCTATAAATGCCTGTGCGGTAGCGGGAATGTTGCTTGTGGGAGGTCCACTTGTTTTATCTCCAGTATCCATCGATAGAGTACCCGCCCCCTGACCGTAACCATATCTGAATTAAAAATCACATTATTTGATTAGAAATATTAGTAAAAATTATCTACAATATATAAATAAATTTATTTATAAACAGGTATTTGTTTTGTTAGGACATACCCTTTGGGTCCAAACAGTTTGCCATAACAGGATCGGCAGTAGATATCTCCGTCGTGTTCGGTCAGATTACCGCTGTCTAGCCGTCGGTTACATGACTTGTTAGCTGTTTTTCATCAGTATACAGATATAAATATTTTAATTTAATTATCACTATTATGATGAGTATCGCATAGCAAAAATAAAATTAAAAATTAAGTGTGACTAAAATTAAAACAAAATTTCATACATTATATATAATAATGAGATAGAAATTGATAAAGAAATAAAAATTAAAAAAAAACGTTAATAAATAAATATAATAATCTAAATGTTTCAACAATTTATTAGTTGCGTAAAAATTAGAGATAATAATAAAGATAATAATATGCAATAATAATATTTGCTAAATATAGCATAGAAGTAGTCGAGACAACAACAAAAATCATTTTATATCAAATTAAAGTAAAAACTAAACTAAAATTCAATGCATTCATAATTTTTATTTATAACATATTTTTAAAAATCTTATTAATTAAAAAAATTTAATTAAAAAATTGATAATTATATTAAAAAAGTTTTACCGCAAACAAAGCACATGACGTGAAAACTTTTGCCGATTGCTATCTTTTCTTCATTAAAATAGACAGTCTTCTGACACCGACCACAAATACCCGGCATTTTTATCGGTAATACTTCCTCTTTGTTTCAATTGATTTCAAACTTATATTTCACAACAAGTAATAATTCAAACAATTATTGTGTTTGCATTTGTTTTATAGACTCCACAGATTTGACACAATTTTTATTCACACCAATACCTGTAAAACAATAAAATATTTATATATAAATAAAACAATACATTTATATAAAAAATTATTTACTAAAAGACTTTTTTTATAACAAATAAATATGAAAAACGACGAGAAAGTAGTGAAAGTACTGTTTAAAAAAAGGTTTGTCCTTCAAAAGCACTGTTAATATTAAAACAAATTGATTGAATTAAGCCAAAGCAAACATTTATAAAAATATTTTTAGGGATAAAAATAGGTAATCAATGCTAACTCAGGTATGATTCAACACAACAAAACTATGACTTGTCATTGGTTTAAATAAAAAAAATTTAAACTAATATTATTTTATGATATAATCGTTATACTGATATTTAACAGTTCTCTATTAAAATAAAAACTGCTTTTTAAAATACATTTACTTTTTAAAAAAGCTATTAAATCATATATTAAAAAACTATTCACTTCGAGTCTGTAAACAATTTTTCAACGCTTATGATTAGCATTCCTTAAGAATACCTGAGAGTCTATTCATGTAATAGTTATATAATATTATTAAAAACATAAGATATATATAATATAAATTTGATTCAATGTATCGTCAAACCGGTGTATAAAAAGTCAATTTTTTGATGCACTCCTCAGTTATGCGCAAAAAATGCCTAACAAATCGAAATATATCTTTAAATTAAATAACTATTTATATCATAAATTCATAACATATAAATAAAATAAGATATTGTTATACTAAATATTAGTCAAATTTATGAAGATTTGGATAAAACCAAACACTTGGCTGTCCTATCAAATCATACAAAACTTATAGATATGTATAAATACTAAATACCATAAAAACATTGTTATATCACTTTATAATAAAAACTTGAATACAATTTAAGATTTTAATATCATAAATAAAAAATATATCTGAAATCAAGTTATATTTTTATATGATAACCAATAAGGATGTTATACAGTATTATTTAATTTAAGACACTTTTCGCACAAAATTTACAAAAAGGTTATATATATTAATAAATATTATATTTTATCAAATGTTAAATAATTTTACATCAATTGTGAACTTTTAACATGACTCTTATCAAATGCCAGTATTAAAAAATATACATTACTATTATATTACTTTTAGTATTATATTTGTTGTTTAATAACCAATGTTTATATTTATTTGTTATAAATAAAATTACGTAAAACAAGTTTTCCAGTGGATTCAACTTTCAAGTGATATCTCAAAAATTTCTGGTTTTATTATAACTTAATTATTGTAATAATCTCAGCTTAAGATAATCATAAATAATCGGTAATTTTAAACTAATGATAAATAATAAAATGATAAATAATATTATTAAAAAATATATGAAACTGTTAGATGTCAATAAATGCTGTTTTAAATCACTATTGAAAACTAACAAATAGTGTTATTTAATATAACTAAATAAATACACAATATTTATATACATGTATGTAATTTAAAATAAATTTCTTTATTTGGTTTTAAATGTGATTTTATGATATAAGCATAATATTGAATATTTATAAATTGGTTTACAATCAAAATATTAAAACTAAAATCTTCAAACTCATTATATCCAATTCAAAATATCTAAATTAATTTGACCCAAATTTCAATTTATACTTTAACAATTTACTTAATATAAAATATACTATAATGTCTTGTATAACAATATTTAATTAAATACTATGTTGATTAAATTAATTTTGATATTTTAATCTTGGTTCATTTTATTTGGATCATATAATTAAGATAAAATGAGTGAATATTTTATATTTAGATTTTTAATATTTAGAATTTGATATTATGAGTTTGGGTCATTTAAAAATAGACCCTGATAAATTAATAGCTGATATGCCTTATAATTTATATTGTATTTGCTAATTAAAAAACAATAATTATCTTAATTAAAAACTATACTATAAATGTTACTAAATCTATAGATATTTGTTGAGATGAATTGCATTACAATTATTAAATAATGGTTATTTAAAATACAAAAATAATTCAAAATTTAACAACAAAAACATTAATCATATAAAATAAATTAAGAATCAAATAGTGGGCGAAATTAAATAAAAAACATGAAATTATAAAATATTAAGTTCAAAAAATTAAATAAATAAAATTTTTTATTTTATAACATTAAAGACTTAAGTTGGCGTCAAGTGTTTGCCAAAAGTGGGCGAAATTATTATTAAAATAAGTTAAAACAACATTTTTTTAATAATAAAAATAATTCACATTTTAATAAATAAGTAAACAAAAAATATTAAAATAAATTTATATTGTTTATAAAATACTAACTCATTATTAATATTATTTGAATCTAATTGTATCTTAAATATTGTTATTATAAATCTTTATTATAATTTATATAAGTCTATAGTAACTAATAAATCATTGTATTAAATACCATAAGAAAAATTAAATTAAAACAAAATATAATAAATGAATTTAGGATTTATTAAAATGTAAATATCTGTACATAGTTTATATGCAATATACAATAATACATATGTATATGAAAAATAATAAGTATATTAAAAATATATAAAATAAGTATATCATAAAATATTGTATTAATAATTTTATGTAAGCATTATTATACAGTTATTCATAAACTGTCAAATCATTAGTTATCATAAGTTTTAAAACATATTTAGATTATGAAGACTATAACATTGTTTGATAAAATGTTTGAAATACTTTATTATCAATATATAAGTATTAAACATTGTTTTTACAATTTATCAAATCTGTACCTTTATATCAAATAGTTTTATATCAATTATTTATTTTTGATAAATATATCAATAATTGTCATTTCAATAAATTTATGACCATTTAATTAAATAAATAATAAAACATGTTTTTATTTCAACATTTATTTCAAAATAATTTGTCAGTAAACTAACCAAACATTTACTATATGTCTTCAATGTGCTTAAAATCATCATAAAGTTATATATAACCAAATAATTATAATTTATTACGTATTACCAAATGTTTTAACGTATTTTTTATATTACAAATAAAATACAAAAAATAAAATAAAATAAATAATAAAATAAAATCTGTAAATTTGTATAATTCATAAAATTTTATTTAATACTGTCTCTATATATTTTTTTATCAATTTTAAAATCCATAAAAATAGTAAATGTATAATTTTTTATCTAAATATAGGTATATAAAATTAATATAGATTTTAAAAACACAAGTTTTTCATAATTATATTAAATATTTAATTTGTCACTTAAATTATATATTGATTAATTAATTTACAATTATTTTAAAATTAATAAATATATATAAATTCAATAAATCATAACTAAAAACACAGTAAAAATTTTATATAATGTCTATAATTAAATATTGATATATAAATTTAATTTATTTTACCAATGATTTAGTAATTTTATAATATTTTCTGTATTATAAACATTTATAAACTAATTAATGAAATTTGGTTAACAAATATGATATACAGAATAATCAATTAATTATAAATAGATGTAAATTCATATATCCAGTGATAATTAATTTTTCTAATATATTATAAAAGTATATTAATATTATTAGTTATTTAAATTAAAAATAAATAATTACTAAAACACACATACCTTGTTGATTAAAAGTGTTACACAATTGCTATAATCTTTTAATATACTGTATAAATATATTATATAATTTTATTATATGATATATAAATATTAATATCAATTTATTAAAATAAATTATAATAAATATATATCATATATGATTTAACAAAATGCAAAACATAGGCTATACTCTATGATTATAAACAGTAAATACCAATAAATTTAATTCAATTATTTAAATATTCATAAAATAAATGTTTTTTTTAATAAAATATATTTCATTTGAAATAACAAACAAATAATTATAAGTAAATGACAGTTAATATTACAATTGAAAACATTATGACATTAAAAGTGTTAAAACAATGCAAACAATAAATGGATAACACTTTCAATACAACATCACATCACTGGTCGTCACAACAAATGACGTTTACATCCATTTAAGACAAAAGTTCAAAAAAATTCAAAATATTCAAACATTTTTTAATATTATATTAAAACTAATATTTGCTTTTTTTAAATAATAAAACCACTGTATTTGTATGTTATATACACATTATATTTCATATGTTTATTATTCTACAGTACAGTACTGTAATAACTAAACTTTATATGAAAAAAATTTAAAGATAAGTTTTATTTTGTTTTGGTTTATATACTGTAAATAAAAAATTAATTTTAAATTATGTCATTTTATCAAATAGTAATTTAAAAGTAATTTATCACTTATATAAACGCTAATTGTAATTGTAATTAATTGTATTTAAATCAAATTTATATAAAAATTGTTTTTAAAAGTTAAATGCATGTGAATAATAATTATGTAAATATTTGATTGTTTTTGATTTTAAAGTAAAAAGAGTTTTATAGAAATCAAACTTAAAATTTGAACTAAAAAATTCATATAAACTTAATATTTTCCAATAATTTATAATATTATATATTTTATTATATATTTTATTTTGTAATTTGTGTGAATATATATGTTATTTTAATATTATTAAGTTATACCATTTTAATCATTTTTTGTATCTAAAATAACTTTTATTTTATAATAAAATAATTAAATTGTTATTATAAGAAACTGATGTTTATAAAACTTAATGAAACTTTTACATAATTACAAAATTATAATATTTAAAATCAATTTAATCGGATTACAGAAAAAATAGTTATTCAATAGTAAATGAAAATTTTTGATATACTGTACATTATTTCATTATATTGTATATTATATATAAAAATACAATACTTGTATTTATTTAAATTGAAATTATATAAATATTTACTTTAATTACTTCAAATTGTTAAAAATAATGTCTATTAAATACAGATAATTTTGATGAAATAATAAATTGGTAGTTCATTGGCAACACCTATGGATATAATTAGCGTATAGACTGCATATATCGACAAATTTTGTAAATTTAAAAATCAACATTTCTTATGGGGCTGTATCTCACAAATACCCCTCTACTGGGGCTGTATCTCACAAATACCCCTCTACTGGGGCTGTATCTCACAAATACCCCTCTACTGGGGCTGTATCTCACAAATACCCCTCTACTGGGGCTGTATCTCACAAATACCCCTCTACTGGGGCTGTATCTCACAAATACCCCTCTACTGGGGCTGTATCTCACAAATACCCCTCTACTGGGGCTGTATCTCACAAATACCCCTCTACTGGGGCTGTATCTCACAAATACCCCTCTACTGGGGCTATATGTGAAGTGGTGGGGGTAAGGAATGATTGGGGGATATTTAAGATCAGTCTATTGCAATCAGAAACCATTAAATGCCAGTTAATAGCAATTAGTGTTCAAATTAAATATATTATAATACAATAATTATAGTAATAATAATTAACACAATAATCAATAATCAGCTTCCGATCAGTCATTAGATTGAAAATTAGCCGTTTTGTAGTCAATTATTTGACATTAAATGGTCCGATCAATAGATTGCATTTTTAAGGGGGGGGTAATTACACATGAAAAAAATTCAATTATTTTAATAGTGGGGGTATTTGATAATTCATTAAAATCAACATTTGGTAGGGGGCTATATCTCACTTATTGCCCCACATTTTCACATATAGCCCCTAATGGCCAGTGGGGCTAATGGGAGTCTATACGGTAATGTTTTTCTATTTTTTTTTAATTTTATAATATTTTGCACGTTTATAACATTTATAACAACATTTATAACATTTATAACATTTATAACATTTATAACATTTATAACATTTATAACATTTATAACATTTATAACATTTATAACATTTATAACATTTATAACATTTATAACATTTACATATTTTTGAGTGATTTAGTTATTATATATTGGGCGCCAAAAGTTTGTTTTTTCAATTTCATGAAACTATGACAACACAGTATATTTCAGTATTAATATGTATGAAATCAATGATTTTATATATAAAGTGGGTTTTTATGTTTTTATTTTATTCAATAGATGTCATATCATTTACAATATATATTTTATTTTGCAGTTAAAGTATTATTCATAAAACGATACAACATTTTAGAGAAATTTGATTTATTTTAAATTTAATAATTTAATTGAATATATTTTTATTTTTTAATTATATGCTAATGTAATATTTTATATACTGTTTGTTATGATATACATTTAAAAATTTAATAATAATTACAATTTATTTCTTATTATTATTTGATAATAAATATAAATTATATTTCTCTTTTGAGAATAGCTTTGAATCGATATTTAGATTAAATGTAAATCAAATATACTGTATATTATTAATAGAAATTTTTAAATATAGATTCTTATAAATAATTAATTTTATAAACAAAAATATTTAATTAAAGATAATTATAGCTATTTTTAGAATAATTATTAAATATAATTTTTTTTATTAATTATTAAACAGAATATTTTAAATGAACTATTTTTATTTAATATTTCAAATTTACATTATTTAAAAAATTAATTAATTTTAGAATAATCATTAAATAAAAAAAGTTTTAATATAAAATATTTTTAATACACTATAATATAGATTATAATTTTCAGCAAAACTAACAATAGTATTATGTATATACATGTGATTAGATTTAGTTAAATAAGAAAAACTTTTTTAAGATCATATAATATTTATTTTAGAACTATAATTAAATTTAAACAAATTTATGAGTTTTGTGTTCAATCTTTAAAATCATAGAGAAAATTATATAAATTTATTAATAAAGAATACAAAAATTTAAATTATTATTATTTTTTTGTTGTTGTTGTAAAAAAACTAAATGTTTTATTAGAAAAATGTAATTTTATAGAATATTACAGAACATAGAATATGTAATTTATTTATTAAATATTAAGTATATTATAGAGTATATAATAATAATAGACTACTCTATACTTTAGTACTGTATATACTGTAGTATAGTATTATTATGAGAGTCTTTATTAACTATAATGGATTCATAACATAATTCAACAAAATATTGTAAAAATGAATTATAAATGAAGAGTATTTCAAATGTTTTATTAAAATAGTTTTGTTAATAATATTAGACTGTTTTGTATGTGAGAGAGGCATACGTTTTGCTCATATATTTGCCATTCAATTATATATTAATATAATTGAAGCCTTACTTCAAAACTAATCAAAGTTATTGCATCTGATAGTCAGTTAGTGCTATGTTTTGTGTGTTATGTTATGGTTTGGGCATCAAATGTGAACCCATATCCCAAATGCAATCCAATTTTCAGAGACTCATATCTGATATTATAAGATATTCATTCAAACATTTATAGCCATTGACTAGGAGTGGCACAACATTAATACATAACAGATCTAATAATGTAAACACATATACAGTACACACTGGTATGTAGTGAATGTCCCTACCGTACCAATAGTTGCACAGTTGGTTTCATAATCTATTGTCTGCCATCAAATTGCTCTTCACTTTTATTTTCATTTGATTTAAATGGTAAGACTTTGACGGCTATAATGAGCTGAAGAGGCAGTTAGTCATCAAAATGAATGCACTTCTCAATGATCTCTCTTTAAGTGCTTTTACGGATGCAAAACACGAAACCTTATTATTCACTATAATATTCAATGAAAACAAATATACAATTTTATCTAAATTTACAATACAATCAAAAACATATATTAATATATATTATATGTGTTTGTATGGATTATGTTCAGTAAATGTTAATGTGATTATAAATGAAGCAACAAATAATAAAAATATTGATTTCAAAAATTTAGATTACATTTTTAAACAAATATTTATAAATATATGCTATAAAATAGTTTAAACTAAAATAATTTATTTATAATGTAAATACAAATTTATAATAAAATACATAAAATTAATTTAAATCTAATATAATTATTATATAAATAATAATATTATATATTTAATTGCATGTTTTTACCACTACATTATTAGTTTTAATTGGTTTGTTAAAGGATTTTGGAATAGAGAGAGAGAGAGAGAGAGAGAGAGAGAGAGAGAGAGAGAGAGAGAGAGAGAGAGAGAGAGAGAGAGAGAGAGTTGAAAGTGAGTTGAAAGGGCATATTTATGTTAAGCAGTATATACTGTATTATAGACCATAAGTATATGCATTATAATGTATCCAAACATGTGTCTCATTAGAAGTAAATTAGACAAAACTTATTAAGAAATACAGTATTTTTTTGAGCCAAACGTTCATTAGTGGCGATGAACTGCATATGTAGTCAATTGCTGTAACAATCAGATTCTTTAAATGCAGTGTTTAGTTACTACAGTATATTACAGTATATTACAGTATATACATATTGCTGTCATCCCTATCCCTATCCCATATATGCCAGTTCTCATTAGTTAAATTTTATTTTTTCATTTTATTAACATAAATATGTTGTTAAATATAAAAATAATGAGACAAAAATACAAACTTTTGTTAGTAGTAATTAATTTTTTTTGAATATATATTTAGTTGGTTTGCAAATATGTTATTATTAACTTAATGTTTAATTAAAAACTCACTTTTAATTAAACTAAAAATTAGCAAAATATTTTGCATG